CTTCCTCTGAATATTGCTTCTTTCATTTCATAAAATGCTTCTAGTTTTCAGCGATGTAGATTAATAATTTCTAAGCCCCATACATGTAGAAGTCTTCAGTACATTCTTTGTAAAATTCTAATATCGTACAACTTTCAAATTTTCTTTAAAACATTAAAGATACAGATTTATTTCTCTTTCTAAATTTAATTATTTAATTGTATTAGGGATATGGTTTATTATTTACTTTGTCTTACTAGAGGGTATGAAATAATATTTTAAGTCAGTAAAGTTAAAATTATTTTAAATTTTATTAGATAAATTTCTGTTATTCATCCAATGCCCTTCCTGAAAAACATAAAAATCTTATCATTTGGAATATTTTGAAACAAACCAATAACAAAATATTTAAAACACAAAATGAATAGTTTTGTTAGTTAAATTATAATTTTTGTTTTATAAACAATACAGTTCTGAAATAGGATTGGAAGTTTCACACAGTGTGATGTTCGAACGCTCTTTTAAAGTTGGTGCTTAGTGAATGAATTAGCAGCTCATAATAAAGCATCATGTTAGTCATGAAAATAACATTGTTTTCAAATGCTATCTTTATTAATAAACAATTTTATTTTTATAATGCAAACTCATAAATGTTAACTCATAAACGTTTATATATATATATATACCAGTAATTTATAATTAGAAAACTTTTTATATACCATCTCGAAAGAACAGAAATTCAATTAAAACCATGAATTATTATAAGGAAAAAATATTTTTAATCATTATTTTTTATTTTTAAATTAGAATTTTCTATATCTCTATTGCTTTAAATACATAAAACCCTGTAGAGAAAAATTCTTAATTGCAAAAGTAACAAAATCAAAAGTAAAATATATACACGTTTGTATGAAAATTTTCAGCATAAAATATTATATCAGAAATACAAGAATACGAAAGATGAGCAAAGTAATGACTTACATGCATTCTTTTCTAGAATATTTTCCCGAAAAAACAGAAATATACGAAAAAAATCATACACACACCTAAAAAATATACGAAAATATTACAAAAAAAAAAAAAAAAAAAAAAAAAAAAAACAGAAATATACGAAATCACCTTCCGCAAAAGACATCTGTACAGATTTTCCCATTCCTAATACATGTACACGAGCCAGTTTCCCTTAGAAAGTCCTCCACGAAGGCATTCTTCCCCTTAGGCAGATAGCCCTCGAGGCTTTGCCATAATACACACACACCATTCCTAATCAGTTTAGAGACTTTTCGAAACGCGCTTGAAATAACGTAAATAAAATAACGTTTTGATAAGCACAACACAAACAAAAATCTCTCATGTTGAAGCATAAAATAAACAGCATTTTTTACATAGTTATGAGTGTGCGGTTTATATTTCGAAGATATTAGTGCAAAAAAAGTTTTCAAAGTCAGAAGTACTTAGAAAAATTTGACTATAGTTTGACTTTTTTTGTAAATTCTAAAAGTATTTCTCCAAAAAGACGATTATTTTTACAAATATAAATTTAGAGGACATTTTTAGAAGGCTCCCTTTGACCTTCCTTATAATGAAATATATTATGTAAAATTATGACTAGAATTTTTTTCTTAAGTTCGCATATAAAAATTCCGTGTATAAATTAAAATTATCCACAAAAATTGTGCCGTTATGTAGATTTTTGGATTTTAAAGTACTTTGTTTTAGTTTTTGAAAATTTAACTTTTTCGTTTAGCGTTTTAAGCAACTATTTTACAGCTGTTTCTTCATTTTGTTAATTTTTCAAAATATCCACAGGTACTTTCCATTCAGAAAGTTTTCATTTCTCTTGGTTTATTGCTTTCATCATTTGTCTTAGGAATTTTCATCGCTATTGAATATATTATGTACACTGTAAATTAAATTAACGGAAATATTAGTATTTAAAAGAGGTCTACGATACACATTGCTGAAATTAAAATATCAAGCTTTAATACTTTTTTGTATCCAATTTACGGCCATCATTTTTTCCCAGTAGCCAATTAAATAGCTACATATTTAACTCAGCTTATGTAGATAAATATAATTTTTAACGCTTCTGTTAAAATAAAACGAGCAACAAATTTAGTCAATAAAATATAATGCTTTAGTATATAATAGGTGCCAAAAATCGGCTGTGCTAAATTTGTATAAACGGCGGTTTTTCTAAAACTTGAATATTTATCAAATAGACTGTTTTATAACTTTTACAATATATTCTTAAATTTTATGACCAAATGTACACACAGTTTCTAAGTTATTAGGATCTTAATTTTGAAAAGTCCAAATTCCATTAGTATAAAATTATATACATCGCATACCGTCAAATTTGTTATAATAATGGTAAAATAGGCGTAGTATTAACGCAATACCATAAACAATGTGCTAAGTTGTTTTATGATTCTTAAATATTTATCTTACTACCAAAATGTAAATAAAAACAATAAAAGTAAATCTTTACTTCTTACGATGAAATCTGCAATAAAAATAAAAAATACACAGTTTTTATATAAGCAAAGAGTTATTTCGCAACTGAGGTGCGTAACTGATGATTCTACTACAGACTTTTATTAAAGTATGTAAATCAGAATTGGTCAAATCGGTCAATGGCGAGCCGGTTTATATTTTTTCCCTTTATATTTTTATATTTTAGATTTCATAATATTATGCATACATATATTGTTTTTTATATTTATTAATTTTTAGATTTTATATTTTCTGTTCATTAGTAGATTAAAAAGTCGCCGGTTTTAAAAAAAAGTAGTTTACTCTGACGAAATGGTAGGGAAACCATGATACAAATGTTTGTTGAATTATCGTTTAATTACTTTATACAATACTATAAACAATACTTATGTAAATTGGGAAGTATACTGTTTCTAAATAACTCACTTTTTACACTGTTAAGCAATTTGCTCCTATAACTTGAAAAATAAAAGAGTTTTAAATATTAGAAAAATCTACGTGTTATTTTTAAATTCACTTTCAAAGATTCAAGATTGCATTACACTGATAAGAAATGCATAACTATAATTTCGAAGATAAAGATCTTAAGCCTCGAGAAAGGTAACAGACCTCATAATTAGCAATTTGCAATGCTGTTTAAAATCTTTACACAGCGATTGCCTAAGGTAAGATGACATAAAGAATAGAAAAAATTATAGACTATCCATGTGCCAACATTACTAGACTTTTCAAACTTCAGCAGGCAGAAAAGCCTTTAAATTTGTAGGAAATCTTAAAATAACAAGGAATATTACCCAATTGCTGAACATTCCAATTTTCGTAAACAAATATTATAGCACTTACTAGACTTGAAGTGAACAGAAAGATTATCATCGCTTTCATATTCTTTTGTATACGTCAGGCGAAAAAAGTAATTCACAATAGAGAAAACGTAATTATTACATTAAACTGAAAAGAGCGTTTTTATAAAGCAATAAAACATATTTTAGATTCTATTCACAATTCAACAAGCAAAATATATTATTTTAAGGTCACATGGTTCGATTCAAGAAAATAAAAATCTCATCAATATTGTTTATAAAGACAGACATGGAGATTATGCAAATGTAAAACAATCGATAAAAGCAGAGAAGAGATTTTTTTACCCGAGGTTTTCGGAAAACTCTACGGTAAAGAAACTTTTGTTGAGAACTTCATTCAGAGATAAAGTACCTTGGAATTTTTTAAAAAGAGACATTAAAATAAACTGATTTCAGTAACTTCAATTTTTTATAACTTTTCAAATTAGTAAAACAAAGAGTCGAACAACAAAACTTCTAATATGTTAATTTTGCCCAAGAAAAATTTGGGAGCAGAGAAAGAGTTTCCAAAAACGAGTTTTGATGGTTTTGTGAAGCAGAAGTTAATTTTTATGCCAACATATTGCTCCAAAAAATCAGGCGGTACATGGAAAATTTATTTTACAAACGATTCTGTCGCATTTAAATTCACATTTTATCAACCAATTACATAACTCAGAATGGAAACCAGTGCTGAAATGACTAACTGTTTTTTCACTTTTTAATTAGAAAATTAGATGGTATAGAATACGTTTCTGTTCACTCTTATTATAATAAAAATGCTTAAAATTTTACAACGAATCCTATGCTAAATTTGAAAATACATTTACAGCTTTGTTAAATTTTATTTTATTACACTTTATATTGCATTATCAAAGACTTAGATAAAGAAAAATTTAGCTGCTATGAGGGAAAAATATTTCTTCTAATTTTATGGCCATTTTTAAGCATGGAAAATCATGTTTAGGCCAAGCGAATTCTTTAATTAATAAATTAATAAGTATTTCGTAATTCATAGATCTGAAGTCTCTGCGTATCGAATAATTTTGCTTCCAATTTTAATTTAATTTATTTGGTTTCTACTTGAGAAAATTTGGAAACAGATTTTTTATTAATTTTTTGAAAGAGGATATTTAAAAAAATACTTTGCCCCATTCCCAAATGGCAGTTTTAGTTCCAGACATTTCGTTTGCTTCAGCCTAAAAATAAGCTCATTTAACAAAAATAAGCTCATTAGTCTTAACAGAAATCATGATAAAATTTCCAACTGAAAGACTCATTATCGCAGTAAACTTTATAAACTTGAAATGAATGAAACTGATGATGAAAGTTTGAGAATTAAATATTCCATACTTTTTTCTTAAATATTCTCAATTGGGATCATTATGCAAACCGCTAAGGCATTTATTTCTGCAATGCAGATTGCTGTTGTTTCACAATTTTCATTTAAGATCAATTTATTGGCATTTCAAAAAGAAATGGGTATACATCATCAAAACTGACGAGTGGAGGCTGAATGGTTTTATAAATTTAACTCTACCTCAAATCAGGAATTCTAATTTTTCTCTCAATGCTCAGTTTTTATCTCTTACAGAGGGAGTTATCAATGAAAAATTTTAAAAACTTCGCAGAAAACATAGTAAAAAAGTAGAAGATAGAGTAATAAAAGTAGAAATTGTCACTTACCACCAGCGGGACCCTCTGCTTTTGATTCTGGATCTGGGCTTCGCTGACTGAACGAGGACGAACAGAGAGATGAAGAGGACTGCTCGGAGAGAGCAGAAGATCATCGTCGTCTGCCTTCCTCTCGGGCGACCTGCCTTCTTAGCCCATGCCTCGTTCCTTCGCTCCACCCCCACCCCGCCCTTCCACACCGCTATTCACAAATACGGAGCGCCTCACTGTTCCGTTCGTAAACACACTTTCCATAACAACGAATTCCACTGACGTCCCGCTGAAAATAAAGCTAACATCCCCTTTAAAAAACGAAGACCTCACGTACTAACGGAACTCTGACATCTTTTGATAGATCTTAGAATGCAGGCCGATTTTAAAAGGAAAAAAAAAAATTCACTTTATTTTATTTTTTACATCGTAATCTTACTCATTAAGGAATTGATTAGCTGGAGCTATTATAGGCCCTCACGAGCCAAACAATTTTCTACAGAAAGATATATGCGTCACCGTCATCTATTGCCTACAGTTAAATTAAATACTTTGAATTTTTCTGTAATTATAATGTTCTTGTCTTCAAAGTAAGCATTGCCAATAAAGGATTTTTTAAATTCACCATTCTATTTCGTTTCTTTGCTTATTGACATAAATAATCTAAAAGATATATTTCTCTCATGTAGGCACATTTACCACAATCGAAATAAGCTGACGATGAAATACGTTTTCTCACTGGAAGTATTAAGTTGGTAAATATGTTTTTCTGCAGAAAATTGCTGAGCGCTTGTTATTTTATAACAGAAAATATCCAATTAGTTTATAATAGTGATGACATCCAAGATATGTATGACGTTCAGGATAACAAGCTAGCCTCCATCAATACCGGGCTGGAGTTAGTTTCCCCGTCTGAGTTCTGTTAAATTTTGCATTTGAGTGAACAATAACAGCTTCAAAGTATTCCACCAAAAACGTCTATCATTTTCATTTGAATATAAAATCTCGTTTTGGCAAAATTTGCAGGAGAGGAGCAGAAGGAATCTAAATTCTGTCCTTCGCAAGGGTTGATAGTGAGCGAGACATAAGACCTATTTTTTCCCTCATGTCTTCCTTATAGTGGACTCATTCGACAAAGAGTGTAAGGCTGTTGCATTATCTTTCAAATTTAACCAATCTACTATTCCTCATTACAAACTGAGGGATTAAAGCGGTGTGTTGGAAAAGTGCACGAAAGACTTTATTTTCTAAAATCTCTCGCCAGTAGCCCTTTCTCAATGTTTTGTCATTCAGCAAAACACATAATCTCTAATTTATTTTACAAATTAAATCAATCTATTACTGACAGCAAATTGTACAATTTAAAATCCATAAATGCCCGTCTTTAAAAATTTAAAGCTTTATTTCGTTTTTAATTATGCATCTAATTAACATAAATTGAAATAAATTTAACTTATATATCTAACTTATTTTTATGAATATTTGCAGCTTTCCTGCAGTTTATACGAAGCTTGCTTATTGCTATATGTTACGTAGATGGTACAGAAACCTTTTTTTTTTTAATTTGTAATGTTTTTTATTTATAAATTTTTCATACTTCTTTAGCTTTTTAAAATTATTGTGATAAAACCTTCTTTAAAGAATTAGATTATGAGCTGATACCTTTGTAATTTTACTACCTTTTTGTCCTTTCGTAATCCTTTGTATGCTTGCATATACGGCTTTACTCTTTTGATGTGGAAGAAGGGTACACCAAAAGATTCAAGTAAGCCATTTTTCCGAATTTTTATAAAACGAGCTGAAAATGAGCTGCTTGTTTACATTAGTTTTAAGCAGAATTAGCAAAAATACTAAGGCTCATGTAGTACGTACTTTTATAAACCTTTCCTTGAAGAAATCTGCCAACAGTTCCTTCAATCTGTGGCAGTGTTTCAAGATTTCTCATCTGATGCAAGACATCTTCTAACCAAAGCTTCCACCCCATCAGCAGCATAGCATCGGATCACCGCTCCGAATGTGATTATTGAAAGACTTACCTACAGCACAGACATGAATTCAATATGAATTAAGCAACTGTCAATATTTTCAAGGTTCCTCGCTAAGCACATTCACATAAACTTCAAATGTTTAGTGGTAACTTTCATTGGGCGAGTGGTTTTGCCCTTAAAAGGCATTTGATCGGGAATAAATCATATTTGGCTGCATTAGCACTCAAATGATAAAATCTGGGATATTTGCCAAAACTCAATGAATCAATTTTATAAAAGTCTTAAAAACATCATTGAAAGTACTATAACCCAGGAGAGGAACAATCGGCTGAAGAAATTGGAAATACAGTCTTCTGGAAATAGAGGATTTTGTAATTATAGATAATAAAAGGAATGTTTATTGCAGTTAACGTAATTGAATAATAAATTCATAAATATATTTGCCACAGAAATAACAAATCGAGAGGGAAATGGTATTTTAAATCTTTTCTCATTGTGCTTTCTTTTTTATGCTTTTGTGTTCTTATAAATTATTTGTTGAAATCAAATAGTCCAAAATGGTCTGGAACCGCGGTTCAAAAGTGGCCGCCCTCTGATTCAAACCATTTTGGATTTCTACCGAAGTAATTACTATAACGAAGCTAACAGTTGATGTTAAATACCTTTTCTTAACTATATTCCATAATACTGATGGTTTCAGAGATAAGCATCTCTGGGGTATGGTTTCTAAATTTCTAACTATTTTTGACAACGCCACCAAAAATCGTTTTTTGATGACTGTTAATGAGACAAATAGCAACAAATGATATGAGCAGTATGAAAGCCAGAGTTCTACGCCAGAAGGAGTAAAAGAGCCTGTAGGCGAAACACGCAGGTGAATTGCGGAAGAGCAGTTTAACTGATAAGGTAGAGGACATAGATAAGCGTTCCTCTTTTGACAAAATATTATCTTTTATTGATTTTCTGGGTCTAATTTCCTTTGCTAATCAGTTCTTAATCATCAGAATTGGTACTTTTTTATATGTTATCTCTTAATTCTTATTCATATACACCCTTAACACTTCTTATATCGGAATTTAATGCCTCAATTTTAGATGTAAATTTTTAAATTCTTCCGTACAGAAACTTCCTCTTTCCCATAGTACTCGATTCTAGAAAACTGTGAGTTACAATGGTGTACCATTTCAGGGCCTTTTTCTCATTCATTTCTTCCTCATGTTTCAATGCAATGTTGGATTTTCCATTATTTAAAAATATAATTAAAATCTTGATTTATTTTTTTAATCGGGGTAATTGTAAAAAGAGCTGAAAATATTAAGGCCGATGCCGCGTGTTTCATTCGCTTGCGTGATGACTGGGAGTTATTCCTTTTCCTTTTAACGCTTTTTATGTTACCGTGTTGAGTGCAGTCGTGCTTCATTCGATAACCAGAAGTGGTACTTTACTTGAAGCCCATAACAGTTTTTAATGATAAGCTATATTAAAATATAATGCAAAAATTTCAATTTTAGTATTGAACACTTTTATATCAGTGGGAACAATGTACTAGATTTTGGCTAGAAATACCTTGAAGATCTGAACAGGCTTTTGTAAAAGAAATATATTATGAGATAATTAAAAATTTGTCAGTATTTAAAACAGATGTATGTTTGAGAATATAATATGTTTATAAGCACTAAATGTAGTCTTGGAATTACGCTAAATGCAACTACAAGAAGCTTATTACGATATCAATCTCTCGTTATTAAGCAGTTAAATGTTTTAGCCTTAATTCTCAGTGTGTTTGTTTTACTTTTGTGTCGAATCATTTTTCAGATATAAGGATGCTGCCATTAGATGTTATTCCTATGTATTACTTTTGAAGAAATAATATAATAAATATAAATAATATACCAAATATAAAAAGAAACATATGGCAACACAGGAAGGTCTAAAGATATATTTCTTTCAAAATTTCTATCCGTTGAGTCATTGATTTGTGATAGGAAATGCTATAGAATCAGAGGATATACTACGATCGATGAGATATTTTCAAATCACAGTATAGAAGTTGTGTAAAAAGGTCTCACAATGATCTTGTTTAGATTTTAAATTCTAAGAAAAATTCTTTCTCTAATTTCACCTTTCAAAATTTCCAGTTTTTGAATTTTTACAATTTAAGAATTTGCAAAACACGCAAAACCGGAAAAAATAAACATGTTGATTGATGTAAAATCACTTCTGAATTCCTAACTTCGAAGCCATTGCGGTCTTATTCGCTCACTGCGGCCACCCAGTTCCTGCTGTTATAAACGGACCTAAAAGTCTTCAACCTAAAAAAGAAACTGCTAGTCATTAACAGCAATAAATTTGCGCCTCTCGTAGATAATTGTCAGATTGACAACGATGAAATCATCGCTGAACCTGATATTCAGGATAAGCAAACTAAGAAATCTAACAGATACCGTGCGGTTGAATCTAAATCTAAAAATGATGCAACCTGAGCTTTTGGAGAGAATCCCCCCACTCTGAATCATCAAGCTGAAGTGATAGGTGTTCAGCAAAATGTTTTATCAGAGAAGCTCTCAAAGAGTTCTCAAGAAACCTTGTTCACTCAGTTGCTACTCCCAAATCAGGAGCCAGCGGAGGTTAATTAATATACAGGTTTAGATATCCAAAAAATCTGATGTGCACATCCCATAACTTCATTGTACGGTTTATAAAACTATAAACATTTTTGCTGCACTTTAATTTAAACTTATTTCATTGAATTATCCCAACTTAATTAACAGATCCCTCAACTGCAAATCTGAAATTAAATATCCAGGAAAATTTTTGTCAAACTTCTTGTATTTTAAATTTTTTAAATTTTATTGCATTTCTGAAATTGTAAATTTTTAATTTAATTAAATTTCCCGGTTAGTTTTAGTCGTAAGTGAGTCAAACTTCTTATAATTTTATTCTTTCATAACGATAATAAATATTTTCAAATATAAGTATAGGAACGGGGAGACCAATTTAAAAGTTAGATTTCGATATTTGCCCAAAATTTTATTATATTTTTAATTTGGCATTGCCCAAACATGAATATTATCATCATTTAAAACACTTCTGTAACTGAAAGTGTATGAATACGACTAACGAATGAAAATAAAAAACAACCAAGATATTTA